GGCCAGCGGGCTGCAGACCCCCACGAGCACACCCGTCCCAGCCTCTGCTGCGCGCACCCCCCTCACGCTGGACCCGGCCTCCGTCACAGACAACCTGCTGCAGCTCCCCACCCGGCGCAAAGCCTCAGACTTCTTCTAGAGCCAGGCCCGGGCCCGTGGACACTTTGTGGAGCCTGCAGGGCAGCTGTGTACCCAGCAGAGGACTCTTGCCTTCTGGGGACCCAGGCCCGGGCCAAAAGTGGTCGCCCATTGCAGGAACCGCAGGAGGAAGGTGCCATGCCGCAGCCAGGCTGGCACAGGGCACGTGCCCACCCTGTACTCTGGGTCCTTACCTTCAGTGAGAGGCCCCCAGGGGAGAAAGCTTCCGGCGGGGTGGGCTTGGGAGGGCTAGGGGACTCCGGCAGTATTTCTGTGACACCTGGAACCTGCCTTCTGAGCTGAGCCTGCGCGCGCACCTGGTGCTGCTGCTCCTCTGAGGGAGGGGGAGCCCCTGGCGATTGAGCCCCTTGGGTCCTCGGCCTCCCAGCCGGGCCTGCCCTGCACAGTCGGCCAGTTACAGGGCTGCGTGGGGGCTGACTTGGCACTGGGCACCTTCCTGGTGGGCTTGGCCAGGGCGGTGTCCCAGCACCTGGCTTCCAGCCCAAGTGGGGCAGGGCCGAGCCTCTTCCTGTCCCTCTGCCCACCCAGCGGGGCAGGCACAGCCTTGCCGTCATCTACCAGCGGGAGCCCACAGGTAACCACGGCCCAGGCCACAGCGTACGGAAACGGGCAGGCTCCGTGGAGACCCGCTCGGCCCGGGCTGAGGGTGTGGGTGCCCTGAGGAGGCTCCTGGCCGGCTAGGCCTGGAATCCGCTTCCCACAGAGGTGGAGTGGCCCGTTGAGCCCACGACCACGATCTGCTCCCAGGCCAGTTGCTTCCGGCCTCAAGTGGAGGTCAGATTGTGCCCTCTGGGTGACGGGGCACATCTGGCCCTTGCTCACACCAGAGTCCTTCCTGCATTGAGTGCACCAGCCCTGTGCTAGGTGGTCCTCTTGCCCCTCCTTAAGTGCTGCTGTGCTCGGGAGGCCGTCCGGGGCCTGACACGTACCTGGGGCCCTGCTAGCCTGTGCTCCTCCACAGTGAGTTCCTGCAAGCCCAGGCATGCCCTGGCACCCCTGGGGGCTCTGGGGTGGGGCTCAGGTGAGGTTGGGTCCCAGGCTGGGACCGTCAGGGGTGGGAAAGGTGGGGCTCTTGGTGCTTGTCCCCACAGGAAAGTCTGGGCTTTCCTAGCAAGGGAGCCCCCAGGGAGGGGGGAGGGGCACTGTCCAGGGCTGGCTGCCTGGAGTGCTTGGTGGTGTGTGTGGGGAGCGATGTGGGACCGAACAGGAAGCAGGAGAGACTGGCCAGGGCTGCTGAGCGGCTTGCAGGGCCACAGGGCAGGTTGAGGGGTGGCAGGCGAACAGTCTCAGCTGCGGTTGCCCCTGGGGGATGGGGCGGGAGGGGTGAGGGGCTGATGCCCTGGGGATAGGAGAGGAGGCCACTGAGCAGGCACCGACTGAGGGGGTCGATGAGGGTAGAGAGGGCTGCGCTGCGTGGGGGAAGGACGTGGAGCTGGCTGGCCCTGGGGCCCATCGGGCCTGGCGGTAGACGTGGCAGAGGTCGTCTCCCGCCTACGAGGCCTCGCCATGAGTCTCCCTGTGCCTGAGCGCTGCTCCCTGGACCCCTACGCTGGAGACGCCCGCGCAGCAGGGAGGGCAGTGGGCTGAGTCCCGGAGAAAAAGACTCCTCGCCGGGCACTCGATGCTTGTATACACTTTGCGGTTTATTTGGTGGTCAGTAAGTAATGTCTTTGCTACTAAGTGGAAGAAAGCTAATAGAAC